AATAACCATTCATAAAACTTTACGTACAATAAGTTGATTCCAGTCTCTACGGTAATACATACAGTACATGTACACGTCGAGTACTTCAGGGGACCATTCTGGTGATACTCAGTCCATTTATATTTTTCTTCCATCAGTAACCAAGCACTGAAGCAATCTATGGAGTCATGCTAATGAGACGGAAAGAACCCCAGTTGAGGCAGTTGATTGGATGAAAGCTCTGAGAAGTTGGCCCCCTGGCTACATGTATACAGACCTCGGGGGAATCAGGTATTCAGCTACATTGGCTCGATACTTGAGTCCCCACAGAATTGGATCTTGAAGGTTAACACATGCATGAACCCGTCTGCAAATGGGAGTTTTAGCAGATAAAAATATGAGGCTTTTGGCTAATATTAATACTGTAGGTTGTGCTGGACTTACTGTTGCTCTTCCCAGAAACCCACCGGCATCACTACAAGGCTTCAGTAATTGGAAAACCAATGGGTAGCTCTTTTCCTCAATCACCAACAGGGAATCGTAGTAATGAACAGAAGGTGGGGGAGGAGGGATAAGAGGCAAGCAAGGAAGGGAAGAGCACAGACACTGGATGTTGAACAAAAAACATGAGTTACCAGCAGCCTCAGAAAAGCCCCTTCCTTAAGTCTTCGATCCTAGGACAGAAGTACACATTTAGTAAGCACTCAGCCATCATACTATATACAGAATATATAAGTGTATATATGTACATCACATTATTTATAAGTGTTTTGGATTTTGATTTGCCTCATTATTATGGTTAATTGGGGGACATAGGCACATTTTGTGAAATGTCAATCAAATATAAGTGATTGCTATTATTAATGGATGCTTGGGGATCTGCAATTTAGCAAGGTTGTGGACTCTTGAGTGTAGGCAAAATTGGGCTCAGAGTTGTTTATCCACACCACTCCCATCCCATAGTACTTTGATATAACAAGGATGGAAATATAAACATGGGACAAAGACCTCAATGCAAAAACACAAAGACAAAATCAGGGAACTTCACCCAATCAACCAACCACTTGTACCTCTGAGTTTGATACACTGTGTTGAACAAAGCAAATTGTCATCTTCCTATGTTTGCCACATTGACCCTGGAAGTATATCTTTAGTAATTTTGATTGAACATTGGACTTGGACTCTCAACGATAGAAGATTTATTTAGGAAAAATGAAACTGCCAAACTAAAGGCAGCAAAAGAATGTGAACCTGCCCTGCCCAGCACTGAAATAGAATCACAGAGGATCAACTCCAACCCTCTATTATGTCTGAACCCTCTTGCCAATACGCTGGAAATTCAGTCTCCAAACAATATGTTATGTAGCAAAGACAAGGCAGTGTAACAGAATGGAAGCTTTCATCCCTCAAGACTTTGTGACCTACTTTTGTTCCCTTAGAAAGTAGAAGTCCACTTAAGGAAAGGCCTGGGCCCCTTCGGGAAGCATTGACTCATTACATAAACAGTCATCTAAGATTAGCTTTGATTACTGATCTCTCAAAAGTTATATTGAACTTTTTCAATATAGTAGATAAATATATATATATATATATATATATATTTTTTTTTTCTGTGCCACTCTTTGACAGATCCAAAAATGCAATTCCATCTTTAAAAAATAAAATGTCTATGCTTTCCATCTATTTTGAAGTAACATAACACACATTCTCCAATTATTTAAGCATCAACACAAAGCTGATAAGTATTATTTTTACAGTTTCCATGAAAACCTAGGCAGGTTCAAAAGCCTTACTTCATTTTAAAACAACGAACTTATGAGTTACATTGAAGACACTGCACATACATGAAATACACAAGTTTTACAGAAAAAGTTGACAATAGGCAAAAAGGAACAAGTTTGCCAGAGATGTATTCTAAGCTGAAAACAAAGTTAGTCGAAATAAAATACTGTAGCGAAAATTATTTGGCAAACCTTTATTTCCTCTATTACTAGCGAAGAACAAAATGTCTTTCTACTCCAGCGATGACCCAGGAGCTGTCTACATCATCTCAATCCTTCTGAGAAACCATGCCACCTATGTGAGCAGTTATTTGTGAGTGGAAGAAAAAAAAATTATTCTTCCACCCCTAAAATCTCACTATTGGCAATAATTTCATTTGTATGCTATAGGTTAAAAAGGGACCTTATACTTATTTTTAGCAACTTTTAGTGTTTCCTAAAATAAAACGTGGGTAGCATTAAAACAAAGTCAATTTAGTAATAGATGCTTTCTAGTCTTACAGCTAAATATAGTCTTCCTTTTTTTTTTTTCCTTTCTCATAAAAAATTTCCAATCTTGAATAACTGTGCTACATTGGGCTTCCATTTGATCTCAAACTACTTTAGAATATTGTCAGTTATGTGTATTTCCCAAGAGACAATATTTTGTTAAGAATGAATGAAGTAAATTAACCCTGAAGAATGCTGTTCTGATTGCTACCATCTCATTGGCCAAATGTGTAAGATGAAGGGATTAAAGATCAGAGTGGGGGATATCTGCTCTTTGTAAGAAGTGGGGCCACAATCAACCTCTCCATTACTGAGACACCATTTCTACTTTGTTAAACATCACCTACAAGGGAGGCGTTCCTTGAGATAAGGTCCATTTCCATGGATCCATGAGTGACTGTAACATAGTTACAATTTTGCTGATGTTTTTATAATTGTGGAAATGGATAACAGAGAGGTACCTATAAAATATTTGGCCTTAATCAATATATTAATTTTGAGGATCATGAGCAAGACTTGGTAAAAACATCACCTTTTAGCTGAAAATCTAGAGAAATTTGTTAATCTGGATTTTAAGCAATAAGAAAGAACCCTTCCTTTTGCATTTGCCCTAAACACACCTAAAGCTGCTTAGGTGGTTGTCTTATCTGTCATTGCTCTGTCATTGTCAGTGTGTGTGTGTGATGCAATCAGATCTATTGCACATAATGTATATGATTAAATGACAGTATTTTTACAATTTTTTTTCTAATCATTTAAACCACTCAGTGCTTGGAAATCAAATTCAAACTACAAGTTTCCTGGTGGGGAATGTAAGATGAAGAGAAGGAAAGTAGGTTTGGGGGAGGAAGTGGGGTATGAATTTGCTCAGATGGACCCTGGAATGGCCAACGAAGAGCAGTGGAACAGTTGAAGATACAGGACAGTAATTTATCCTCATCTCTCTTCTGAGATTTGAAAGGTTGGGTCACAGGCTGTAGTGGCACCATCTTTCACATTGCCTGCACAATGACTCTATCTACTATTCATATGTAATCTGGAACCTACCCAGTTGAACAAAGAATCCAACAGGATTGTTATTTTGCAATACAAATCACTGGGCCTCCCCCCAAAATGAAAGGGATAATCAGATTCATTATGTGATGCTATCAGTTCACTCCAGGCCTTAATTTGATGCTTGGCTCTCCTATGGTAAAAGTGGAGGTCAGTATTATGGCATGCATATGCAGTAACGAGAGCTCGGAGATTCGCATCATTAACATGACACATTCTCCTACCTTGTTCGGTATTATGAGATGATCTATTTACTACAGGTTATTAGAGACCCTGGCTCTGGATCTCTCAATCTTTATTGCTAGTAATGTCCCAGGTAGTTTGATGGGAAAGCTTCAGTGCCGCAGTGCTTACATTGCACCAAACTGAAGCACTATTTTATTATACAGGGGACTTTTTCTCAACAATACAAGAAATCCAAATGATAGAGCAGTTGTAATAATTACAAAGCACTTTGTGCTACCTTAAGCACCTCTTGTTCCAGAATTGCAAAAAAGAAACCTTATGAAAAAGCATTTAACCTCATTTTGCAGATGAGGAAACTGAGGCACAGAGAGGTTAAGTGACTGGGCCAAAGATACCTGTGTCAGCAGTAAATAGAAGAACAAAAAGTTGACCCCAGTGTTCTAGCGTTTCTTGTACATTCTTCAGTTATTGTGCTGGCTTTTGAAAATGCCAGTGGTAAATCTGAAGAATAAGATACTGAACCCACATATTGGGGGTGGAGGTGGGTTTGAGTAGCATGTCATAGAGAGTTTCTGGCTCCCTACATATTCTCTATGCATGGGAATTCTAGCCCTGTAAATAAAACCTTGACAACTTGAAAAATTGAGGCTGTTTTGTTATCTACAGTAAATGAGTTGTAAAATTAGCTTTTCAGGAACATTTATTTGCTCTCAGACCTGAATCCAAGACTTGGTATTACATAACTTAGGAAAAGTAACCAGTCTTCTAGTTGTCTCTGGTAGAAAACAACTTATCAGTAACATAATGTTACTTCTGTATAAAATAGTAGAGCTATCTTGTTGCTGTCAGCTCTCTGGGGGAAAAAAAATGTTATCAGCCTATATGACAAGAGAGGTTCAAGTGCTCTAGGCATATCAGGATATTTTAAAAAAATAATTATAACTTAGTTTAATATTCACATCTCTGTGGTGAACTCAGTAGTTGGTAGACGTTTGCTTATCGCCTCTATGGTCCTTTTACTCAAATCGTATCACATTTACTTGCAGGCAATTTTAAGCAGCCACCTGAAAACCAGTATTTTGAAAACTGAAAGGTTCAGAGATGCTCTCTGGCCCATGTTCCCTTAGAGAGGTTGGCATTCTAAACAGAACTAAGTTAGGGAGCTTGTGATTTAGAGCATTGTCTTCTTCATTTTCAATATGAATGAGATCAGTCTGTCATTCGTGGAGGAACACAGATGTGACAGAGGGTCAAGGAAGCATCAAATCTGATTTTACTTCTTATGGTGCATTCGCCTGGGTCCTTCATCTTGGTTGCCAGGGTAGCCGGGGCCACTGTGGTCCACTTCTCATCTGTTATCTGTGGAATCAATGCATTCCACCAGCTCCATCTTTTGCAGAAAAACAAACCAGAGGGTGCTTTTCTTCCTATTCACAATGCAGATGTCTCTGTTCCTGAGTTTTAAACAATAATAAAGACAGAAAAGCAAATCCCTGTAGTAAGAAACCAGACTTTTCAAATGAAACATTTTATTGTAAATAGCTCCTTATAGGTATTCCTCGTGCTTCATTCCCCACCCACCCTTGGTTTGATTTGTTTTGTGTTGTTTGGGTTTTTGTAAAATGATATTTCAGGATTAGTGTTTCCATGGGGTGTGGTGTTACAGTAAAATGACTCCCCCTGCACAGCAGGGGTAGAATGTTTCTTTGTAACTTTGGTTCCATGCCCAAGACACATCTTTGCTTGATCTGCTGAAACTGTTTCCATTGCTGAACTTTTTTCTTTACACAATATATGTTTATAGTTCTTTTCTTCTGGTTTGACATATACATGTTTCATTAAATGCAGCATATATTGTAGATTTTCAACAGGGTCATGTAGGAACTGTCAAGTAAGAAACCTTGAATAATGGCTTTAAAATACACAGCTGTAGTCCTGGCTACAGGGTAGTTCTTAGCTTTTGATCTTCCTCTCACTGCTGTAAACATTTCTGCCATCTTTGAAGGTTTAGAAGAGTTTGCCTTTCTGGGGTCTTATCCATGTTTTCGGTTACTCTGTAAAACAGGAAAAATTCTTTAATCACCATTTCTGTCAAACAGAAAAAAGCCCCAAACTCTATTTTTTTAAAGAAAAAACATTTTCTATTCTTTACCACCTCTTTGAGTTGAATGATCGTAAGCGAGTTATATAAAAAAAAAAAAAGCCTGTAAGCTTAATTCTACTAATTTAAAATGAGAAAATAGAAGTATCTATTTAAAGGTTTGTTGCAACAAAATGCACATAAAGCAATGAACAGTTGTTACCTCACGGTAACTGGCCTGAAATATTAGATATTATCATTATTACCTTTTGCTCTGGGGCCTTCCAAGGTGATGTCTTAAGAAGCTCAACTGAATCATCATGGCCCCAAATATCAATTGAAGATATTATATTAAAAGCAGGTCTGTCTATGCTTTTCAGTGACTTACTTTTATGTCACACTTTCTCCCCAACAATTGTATACAATGGCAGGCGGCTGCCACCCACCTTAAGGTCCTGACCTGGGGATTCCCTGGGGATTTTTCCACATAGGTCTCCTGGTTGACCCCAGAGATGTCCCCGAAATTGTACTTCCCTGGGCTGTGCTAGTCAGGACTCCTAGCTCTGTTTCTCTTTAAGTCCATGTGTCTGGGTTTTCACTTGGGTAAAAGTTTAGGGCATAATGTTCTCTTCCACTAAAAGCTGGAAATGGTGCAGAGGGCGTGCTGCTGACGTTCATGGTTTTTAGAGTCTGAGTGACATGGATGGAGACAACGGGATTTCCATTTTCTCGCTATATGTCCCACGACAAGCTATTTAACTTCTCTAAGTTCTAATTTCCCCATCTATAAAATAAAGATACTGGTTCTGTAGCAGAGGTCTACTGGACCCCAGAAGTGGTGACCAGGATCCAAAGTGGTGGAAAAGATGACACTTAGTACCCCCAAAGATGCTTCTAGTCCATCACACAGAGGCAAAAGATTTAAAAGATTCTTTAAAGATTTGAAGAAGTTCCTGCCACAAGTGCAAGTCAGAAATACAGTAATACCTTGGTTTGCAAGCATAATTCATTCCGGAAATAAACTATTTGTATTGCAAGACATTGCTCGTTTACCAAGTTAAAATGCATTAGAAATGTTTGCTTGTCTTGTGGAACACTCGCAAACCAAGTTACTCGCAATCCAAGGTTTTACTGTATTTGGGATTCACATCTGTGGAGCCACTTCGTGTGCTCGAAAAGATTAGGTTAGGCTAGGATGAAAGAGGAGAACCAGTAGGAAGCAAGTGCAGTCATTGGGATGAGAGTACACTGGCGGGGGAAGGAAGTCAGGGGGGACAGGTTCCAAAAGGCATAAATAGAGGTTGGGGGCACTTGTACAAAGGAGACATGCATTCTGTTGCTCAAACACAGAACAATGCACATCTTCCTTTTGTCTATCTGGGCAGAGAACTAGAGAGGGATGGTGGGCAGAGACAGGGGCTGTGGCCTCCATCCCAGCAAGAAGCTTTGGCACGTACCACCAATGGTGGAATCCAGAGTGGCCGTGGAAGAGCCTGGGCCTCAGGCGGTCAGGGGACAGTGCAGTGAGCACGCGCTGCACAGCTTCTGAGGAACTCATCCATTATCCTATGTCCCCCAGATGGTCCGTCTTCCCTTGCCTCTCACAGAAAAGACATCGGGGGCTGGTCGGTCATAGTTGGAGGAACAGCATCAACGCCAGGGAGACGGCCGCAACCATGGCAATGGAGATGAGACACATGCATCCCTTTCCCTCTTCCTCTTCCGGCCCTCCTGAAGAGCTGAGCCTCCGAGGGAAAGGAAAGAGGTCTCCAAGAGCCAGACCGTGACCCCCCTCCTCCACTGGGATAAGGGGAGCAAGGATATTAAACCGAGTCTGAGGTAGAATTTTTAAACGGAGCTAGACTTTCCAGAACTGAAAGTGACTATAAATTTTGGGAGCCAACCTAAGACTGAATTAAAGGATGAGAGAAGGAAATAAGACAGAACCTGAGTGAAAGCCATGTTTTGAGAAAACTAGATTACGTCTCACTGGGATGAGGGCCTAACACAACTAGTTACAACTATAATATTCCCATATCCCCTGGTAAAGGAGATAACTGAGCTGAATGTATATAAAAGACAGTTTAAGGCAGCGGTTCTCAACCTGTGGGTCGCGACCCCTTTGGGGGTCGAACGACCCTTTCACAGGGGTTGCCTAAGACCATTGGAAAACAAAAAGATATTTACATTACAATTCATAACAGTAGCAAAACTACAGTTATAGAATAGCAACCAAAATAATTTTATGGTTGGGGGTTCACCACAACATGAGGAACTGTATTAAGGGGTCACGGCATTAGGAAGGTTGAGAACCGCTGCTTTACGGTATGTGTATGTGTGTTTGTGTGTGTGTGTGTGTGTGTGTGTGTGTGTGTGTATTTGTATATATAAAATAAATATGTAAATACAAAAATCTTTTACTTGCAAATGTTCAACTCATATACTCTCAAGAAATAAACACTAAATTCTGTTTCAAAGCACATATGCATAATTTCTGCCTGTCACAACTGGGGTAATACCCACCATTTGAGTAAAACCATGTTGGCTTTAAAGAAAACAAATGGACTTAAAGTCTTCCAGAATGTCAAATTTCTATAGATTAAATATCTTTAAAAGGAACTATGATTTCTACAGGAAAGCCAGATTTATTCAAATTGGCACTCTGAATAGCTGAAGTATTATCCAACAGGTCACCACAGATGACACATTTTCAATGAGCCAAAGACTGTATAGAATATAAATTCGTCTTTGACACCAAAGGCCTTTCTGGATATTACAGAACCATAGGGATTCTTTTGAATGGGTCGCTTATCAGCGCAGAGCTTTAGTCTTCTCCTCTAAAAAATAGCGATTGTAGTATCGGTTCTGAGAGTTTACTGCACGCCACCAGACTCCAAGCCAGTGAATGCAGGGACGTCACTTCTGACTTGTGGCGCTAGTCTCCAAGTACCGACCCACTGTCCCATTCACAGAAGACACTTGGCAAGTATTTGTCGAGATCAACTGATAGGCTACTTATGTTCACCCCTCCTTAGGATTTTCTAACTGTTAGAAGGTTCTTGAAGTCCTTTATGGACACATATTTAGAGGCATATTGATTAACAATTTTAGTTATCTCTTGTTCTTTAGTCACCAAATAACCAAAGATCATGAACAGCAGTCACTCCCTCACCCTGCTTTCCATAACTGTAAAGGGCACCACCATCTAATCAGTTATACTATCTGGAGTCCTAAGGGCCATTCCTGACACATTTCACTCTGTCAACCCTCATGCCCAATGTATCATATAGTAAAATACTCAGTAAATGGTAGCTGTGATTATTACCTCCGTTTTACAGATGAGGAAACTGACACTGAAGATCACTAGGTAACTGGCCTATGAGAATCCTAGTGAGGAAAACAGATAACAGTGAACAAAACTTAACTGAAGCCAGATCAGGGGAAGCTCCCCTGAGCCCCTGATTTTACACCGAGATGGGAAGGACAGTGGCTATTAACCCATTGGTGGTGGGGGGGAAAGTGTGTTCCAGGGAGACGGAAGCACACCTTGGAAGGCAGGATCCAAGACAGAGTGCTTGGCAGATCCTAGAAATGTTTAATGAGCCTTTCCACGTGTCGGGTACTATGTTGGTTGCTTTACTTACATTGCTTAATCCTCAGAACAATAACAGATGCTATTATTTGCTAATGTTTTCTACTCAGAAATTAATGTTTGGAGAGGTATAAGAATATTTTGCAGGGTTGTTGTAAGTAGTAAATAAAACAATGGGTATGAAATGTACTTTTTCAACTGCAAAACAGGATGCCTTCCTCTTCCTCATCATAATAGCATCACTATCATTAAAAAAGTATGTGTTGATTGTCAACGATGTGCTAGGCACTGTCTAGGTAGTTGAGATACAAGCGTGAAGAAACACATGAATGGTCTCTGTTCTCATGAATCTTACACACAATGAGGGAGAGAGACATTAATTGAAACAAATAAACAAACAAACAAACAAAAACAAACAAAAAAACCACTAATGCATGTAAAATTTAGCCAGGAGTGAAACTGAGGAAGACTTTCCTGAGGGAGTCACATGTGCGCTGAGCTAGAAGGATGAGTCAGTAGGTGTTTACTAGATAAAGCAGGAGGGAAAGTTCTGTGCATGGGGCAGGCAGCCGGGGCAGAGACTTGCGATAGGCAGGAGGGGGCATGGCCCATCAAGGGAGGTCCCAGTGCTGCAGGGAGCCTGAGAGATTATCCGAGGTTAGACTATCCAGGGCTATTGGTCACATGTAGGAACAGGGATAAGACCCTAATGGTGACGCTTTCCCAAGAAGGGGGCATGATGAGATTTGTCTTTCCTAAAACTCACTCGGCGGCTTTGCGGGGAATGTGTTATAAGAGCGTCTAGCAGAGAAGCACTGAGCCCAGTTAGTAAGGTCCTCCCACCAGGAAGTCGGGGAGAATGCATCTGTTTTCCTCTGCTGACTCAGTCTTTAAGTTCTTCTCCAAATGACATATACATAACAAATCGGATGGCTACCTTGGTATTAAGTTACCATGCTACCCAGGGCTCTGATCTATAATAACCCGTCCCAGATCTGCTTTCACATTCATTTGCCTAGCTATCTATTCCTTCCTCCATCTGCCCTTCGGTTCATCTGCCAATGTAAAATTTATTCAGCACCTAGTACATAGAAGGCACTGCTGTAGACACTAAAAATGCAAAGATGAATAAAGCATAAGTTTTACTCGATGCTTTAATAGTCTAATGTATGTGATATAGGGAAACAATTTTAGTATGAGCAAATGAAGGCTACTGGATATATTGACATAAAGAAAGGACTGATGAACTAGCCTACAAGGATTCGTCTTATAGGCTTCTTTTACCAGCATAAAAGAATAAGGAACAAAAGTCTCCTAAACAACAAATATAGTGGACATTGGTCTCATATTGCCATGTGTTTTCCATAGGCCACCTATAGGCATGGGTGGGAGGAGTGACTGATAAAATATAAACGTAGTAAGGAATAAACATTTGCCTATTTTAATGGGGAAGTATGTAACCAATCAACTGTGGTTGTTCTTATAATACAGTATTTATTTTTTATTAAGGTTTGCTTTGGATCTGAACAATAATACAGTAATTATGTGCCTCTTAACATGTTTTATGTTACTAGATAAGTGAAAGGGCCTCTATGTTCTTAATGTCATTTAATTCTCTTAGCATAACACCATACTGTAGGTGATATAATTCTAACCATTTTATGGAATAGAAAACCTCCTCTTAGATAAATTAAACCTCTACCATGACATAGCTAGGAAATGGCAGGAATGCAACTTAACAGTATGTTTCACTTCAAGGCTGTACACTCTAAACTCAGCCATTTTCCAGGACATATTTTATACCACCCGATACATTGTCACATTAATTTGCTGCATTATTATTAATTATGTTTTTTTTTTCATTCAATAGACAATTACTAAGTGTAAATTATGTGCTACTCTGGAGGCAAAACACATCAAATCTTGTACATCCCTCAAGGAATTACAAAAAAATGGAAAAAGGTATAGAGGTGAGCACATTGTAATTTCAAAACCCAGCAAGTAAGGAGCACTACACAAATTGGGGACGACACCTCTGGTTGTTGTATGAACATAAATGATGTTCAAAATGCGAGAGAAATGCCCTCTTTCATTTGTGAGGCAGTCTGGTGGTTAAGAGTGGGCTGCAGAGTGAGGCTGCCTGGATACAAATCTTAGTCCTGCCATGGTTGTATGGTCTGGGGAACATCACAAGCTACAGTTCCTCTGACTGTAAAAAAAAAAAAAAAAAAAGAATGAAAGCAATACCTACTTTATAGGGGGTTTTGTGAGGATTCACGTATCTATTGCTTAGACTAGCACATGGCACGTAAGTGTTAACCTTTATTGATGTTAATGTTGAAACCTACTCATTTTCTAATTAGAATTTATGAAGTTGGGTTTTTCTTTCCTAAACCACCATATAATACTTATGTCTCATGAACCGCATTTGCCCTGTTTATTTATTTATTATTCTGGGTGGGGGGAAGACTGTTTATTTTCTGATGCTCTGGTCATTATGATCCTTTCTTAGAGAATCCCACCCATTTCCTTTTAGATATTCTCATTCAATTTAAGAGACTTGGTCCGCTTCTTGAGGCTGCCACCATTTGTGCTAGACAAAGGATAATGGTCAGTCTGAAAAGAAAATATTTTGGAAGAAGGAAGAAAACCAGAGGGTTGGTTATACAAGGACATCACTTTCAGGGCATATCTGCTTAACTCCTTCTTTGTACACGCTAAAGCCCTTTTGATTGACTGTCTCACAAGCAGGAAACGCTGTTGGTACCCATGGAGAGAGTGCATCTCTCTGCCTCTTTTCAACTTGCTATAGAAAATGTTAAATAACATGAGCTCCAGGAAAGACCCCTGACTACTCTGACTTAATAGGATAACCAAAGTGGGCACAGGCTGTGATAAATGGATTTAGAGTAGCAGCTAGCCCTTCCTCCTTTTAAAATCATGGTATTGAGATTTGTGCTTTCCATACCTGGGTGGACATCAACATCACCTCGTATCCTTGTTAAAAACATAGCCCACTCCTCGCTCTCCCCCTCTCCCATCCTATATTTCACCTCCATGTCAAGTAACCTGCTTCGTTAAGTCAGAGGAAGGCCATGGAACCTGTATTTTTAATAGCACTTGGGAATCATTGTCTAAGATTATTTATAGTACATGTATTCAAGAGAAAGGACTTAATAATCTAGTAGTAATAAGACTCTTCTTTTTTTTTCTAAATGGACGTTGAAAGCTATCTTGTTTGAAAATCCAAGATCCAGTTTTAATTAATAGCCTGCTTTCCTGAATTCTGATAAAGAGAGATGGGAAGAAAGGGTTAAAAAAATAATCAGTCATTATTAGCTTGCTAAGATTCACAGCAACCAGAGTTTTCAAGTTGGAAAAGATGCTAAAAATATACTCCTATTTCTTCACTTTGCAGATGTAGAAAGAATCTTTCTGTGTAATGACTAGGATGAGAATACTGAGATCCACAGACGTCGTGGCTTCCCAAAGCAAAACAGTTAATTAGAAAAAAGAAATACTTGATTCCCAAGATACTTCATAATTGCTTTATTTTCTCTAATAAACCCCCAAATGGATTGGATCTATTTCTCATTTTATGGCATTTAAGCTAGTCAAACCAAGGTTATATTTTTTAAAATGTGGGCATAGTAAACTACATACATCATCCTTTTTGTCAAATACCTCTTAGAATCACATTTTGAGAATTAAATGGAATCTTACCTTTAAGAGGCACCTTGACATCAAGGCCATAGAATAAAGGCAAGAGAGAAGAACAAGAATAGAAACAGAAACTGCAGAGGAAAAAGAAGAAGATTATGTAAATCTGAATTTCCGTAGTGCCATTCAGCTAGTACAAAACCTCAGCTTTTCCACATTGCTCAAGTCTGATCACTTCTCACATACATACCAAGTACCTTTTGTTTCAAGAAAACATACCTTTCATTTGTCTACTGGCAAAGCAATGCAGTGGCAACTGGTGTTTCAACTAACATCAACTCATACATTTTAGAAATCCGATGGGGGATCTTCGAGGTAATTGGAAGACTTTGCCTTGTTATCACTCTTGGAAGTGCTCTGTTGCACATAATGTTTTTGAATCAGGGAAACCATGTACGGCCTTCCCATTGTGAACAGGTGGTTTGCATATTTCCTTTAATGCCATTGCTTAGAAGCCTCTTGCTTCACTATGGCAGCATTATATGAACAAGCTATAAACATGGTGCTAAGAGCCGTGTATTGGTGACTATTCTATTCGTCTGGGATGCAGAAACTCTGTCGTGTTTTTTAAAATTTTTTTCATTCCTTGAAGATGGAGAAGGATGGGGCGGCATCTGTAGTAGGAGAGGATGGAGGAGGAAAGAAATGGAAGGCTTCCACCATTTCTCAGTGGAGGTCAGATGTCATGGAGATGCCCATCACTTAGTCTGCAAAGAGGCTCTTGGTCCATGTAGGGTGGTGGGCGGGCCTCAGGTGTTGACTTGCCACGGATTGGTTATAGGATCTTGGGAAAGCTGTTTAATCTCTCTGAGCTGTTGATTTATTATTTGCATAAAAGGGGATCATAATATCTGCTGTGTCTGTCTCAAAATAATTATGAAAATCAAATAGGATGATGGTAGTGGAAGTGCTTTCAATATGGTAAAGTGCTATGTTTGAGGCAGTTTTGCTATGTTTGTTATTGCTTGACTTACACTGTGTGCATGGGAAATGAGAACAAATGAAGAATATTTTATGTACCCTGAGGGGATGTTCATTTTTCCCAAAGGAAAGAATGAAGCCTCTCAGTGATCTTTTAGCCTTTGTCCGAGGCTGGTGGATGAGCAGAGTTGAGATGAAGTGAATAGCAGAGGAGTAGGTGCTCATCTCATTCAAATCTCTAATCAGAAACCAACTAGATTATTTTTGAAGCGGCTTAATTTACTTCTGTATGTGAAATATATTGTTTTGATAGCTAAAGAATCCTTACTTCCTGTTAAGTACATTATCTCATTATCATAAATGTTTAGGAAGGTCAGACCTATGAAATGAAAACTTCATACTGAATTCTGACAATGAACATAACCTTAGCCCTCCTCCCAAATTTTCCATGAAGATGGATATAAAAAAAAAAAATTCCTTTTTTTCCACCCCCTCAGTTAAATGGGGACTGAACTGAACTAAATTTTCTGGGGCACAATAGTCTGAACCGTGACTTCCTCCTTGACCCAGCCCGAGGACTGTTTAAGAATTAGCAGAAAATGACGAGAGCCAAGAACTCGCCATTCAAAAATATGGAAAATGGAAGATACCGGGCACATCCTTTGATAACCAGGTTAGCCATGGAGCAAACCCTGCCTTCTATGGGTCTTCCTGCCAAACACTGGAAAATTACACTAAGTCCTTGGTTTCCCTTTGCCTCATTCAATCCTGTAGAACTAAATAGCACACTTGTGAAATGAAAATTCAAATTTAAAATTTTACAGACGATGTATACTTTATGCTTGGGAACTTTAAAAAATTGACTTTTAAATTAGACTTACATTTTCTTAGAGTTTCCTAATCTTCACATGTGGGACCTCACAGAACCCACGAGAGGAGCTGAGGGAAAGCATTAGCATCTCTATTTTATAGATGTGGCTTAGGCACAGTGGGTGAATGAAGTTACTTACCCAAGGTCAAACAAGTACCTGAAGACCCAGCCTACACAAGAATCCAGGTGGCTGATGGTCTGCCTACTGGCCTGGCAAACAGCCCCTACCAACTCCCTGTGATCTCATATATATGGACAACTATGGAAGCAAGTTGGAGGAACCAAATTCTACCCATTGTCTCAGAAATGACAGATGGCTTGCTATTTTCTTCTTGAGTGACCACGGCAGATACTGCAAAACAACCATTTTATTTTGCCTACAGAGGTATTCAGGCAGCTCCTTCCAGTCAACCAGACTGGAACTCCAGAGAAAACTTCTTGCCGTTCTTGCTCCGTTCTTCAGCAGGGTGCTCCAGGCATCCCGGGCAGGATAATTGTTTGTTGTGCAAGACTGTTTCATGCCCTGCAGTTTGTTCAGCATCTCTGCGTGAGCCTTCTCCCTTTTCCCACCACACACACATTTCCAAATGCCCTCTTTAAGAACTATTATGCTTTAACCAAAAAAAGTGCCGGCTAGAATATAGTCAATATTGTAATAACTATGTATGGTGTCAGTTGGGTACTAGATTTATTGGGTTAATTGCTTCATAAGTTAAATCAATGTCTAATCACTATGTTGTAGATCTGAAACTAAAATAATATTGTATGTCAACTAATTGAAAAAAATTAAAAAGACAAAAAGCTGTGGTAATCAAAAAAAAAAAAAAAGTGCCGGCTAACTTGGAAGAAGCAGTGACGCTATCAGACCACCAGGGGAAGTGAAATGAATATGTGACATGATGCCAAAATTATCCTCTTATCAATTTAAATTTCTAAATTTATTACTGAGGCAAAAATGCAATACAAGGAACAAAGTTTTTTTTTATGAATAATAATGGGAAATTTTAAAAAAGATGCTAAACTATTTTAAAAAGAAAGAGCTAAGTAGAATAACAAAACTCAAAAGAAACTTTTGGAAAGGAAATGAAGATGAACTAGAGAAAACTGAGGAAAGAAAACACTTATGGAAAAGAATAGGAATGAACACAAAAGGCACAATGTCAAGTCTAAGTTACTGAAGGCAGAGGCTTTGCTGGCCTCCTGGGGCCTGACTAAAGGTCTATGTCACCCACACCTGCCTATGCAAAGTACACAAAAACCGAGGAGCAGGAAAGAACACATAGAGTGAATAAAATCGATATTATGTTCTGGTTAAAAAAAATAAAGATTAAAAGAGATGTTAAAATGAACACATACCTTTTCTTCTAAGTCCTTTATCTGTCTTTTTTGGATGTCTGTTTTATCTTCTAAGTCACGAATTCTCTGAAGAAAGAAAAAAAAAGGGAAGGCATTAATTAGTGCGTATTAAGTTGAACAAAAAGATTATTCACCAACTGAAAACAGAAAACTTTCCATAAAAACATTAACATTAGTATTAGCAGCTGGGAAACATCACATACACATTTTTTCTATACTCATTTTTGCAAGTTCAAATTTACCGGTACTTATGGTAGAAAGCTATTGTCATTGATTACATTTTAAAAATATTTGCTACCTCTCTCTACTGGGTCTATCCCTGCAGATCCCCTCCCTGTGAAAGGTATAGTCCTCACCCATTTGTCCTTGGACTTGACCTTGGGACCTGTTTTGGCCAGTGGGATGTGACTTGTGGGAATGCCACATCCTAGAAGAGGCAGCAGTATGAATCAGAACTAGTGAGCAAGAAACAAACTTTGTTGTAAACCGTTTGGATTGAGATTTTTGGTTGTTTATAATCACAGTAAAAAAAAAAAATGCCTAAAGCTGATTCACACAAATGTAAACAATCCCCTTGTTTTTTGCTAACCTTTCTTTTCAACCTTATTTCAACTCTGTGTCAGGGTAGAATTTCCTCACAAAGCACGATTGGCCAGTTCTCATAAAACAAAGTAGAGATTACACTGCCACAAAAATTCCAAGGCGGGAACTGATAAATTTTGTTTTTGAAAAAAACAAAAACAAAACAACATACATAACAAAAATAGCACAAGTAATCCTGAAGACAAAAAAGTTCCAGGACTATTTTTGAATTTATCTATCAACTATCCAATAAAATACTAGTAACTTAAATACCACAGATCTGAAATCAACGTTATGTAGACAATTATTTGCAAGTAAAAAAAAAGTCTTCCGATTTCTCTCTGGCAGTGCGAAGGCCTTTTCTATTTGCAGTCACACTGTGTAGGCTTGTTGTTTAATGCCGCTTTCAGCAATCATTAGAAAATGGAGAGCTGAAGGCTGGGAGGAAAACACTGGAAGCCAACTAGGGTGATCATACAGAAAGGGAGGTTTTTATAATTCAGTGTGGGAGAAACAGAAGGAAAGCTACAATGAAGGATACTTGAACTTGGAAATCATATCTCCCTTTCTCTAAAACAGTGGTTCTCAATTGGGGATGGTTTTGCCCCTCAGTGGACATCTGGCAATGTCTGGACATTTAGAAAAGTTATTTATTTTAAAGTGTACAATTCTGGCATATTCTAATGAGCATTTATTGAGGAGATAGAAAATGTCTCTAAGGCTTAGAAATGTCATGCACCTATAAGCTCAGACTGGATAACTTAAAACAGATAAAACCATCTCTTTTGGGGGTGAAGTGCTTTAGCTAATTAAAGAGAGAGTCCAAAGGAATGACAAGGTTTAATAATGAATACGTTTAGATAACTATTTGTCTACCTGAAAAATAAACACTTCTGTGGTTCCATGGCACAACTCCTGATTTGTTGAAATTAATTAAATGTTATTGCAGCATTAGACATCTATGTAGCAGACACTTTCATTCCCTGACAGAAGGAAAGGATGCCGACAATGCTGCCATGATGCCCTAGAGTCTACCATGAAGGGCTTTAAAAACTCTTCCCAGGGTCAAAGCCCAAACCTTTATGAAAGAATCTAAAGGGGCACTGAAAGAAACATGCACGTTGTTTCTTGTCTCTGGAACAAATGGCTTCAGAGTTTGCAGCTCACTTGAGTTGTCTGTTAACCTGTAAAGGTCCACCAAGCTCCTGGTTACATTGGAAGTGTATGAAGTGTCAAGTTCCCCATAAATTGATCCTATTGGTGTCATAACGTAACCCCTGTTCCTTTTCCATTCACCTGGATCTCTGATGACCCCATGATTCTTACTTCTTGGATATATTCCATCTGGATTTTGTACCAGCTGCTTGTTACAGCTTCTGAATACCAAATACTAGAGCCTGGCATTTTCAATTCTGGAATTCTTATCGACTCTGCTTTTTTACCTTGTCCTCACCTGTCAAGTTATGACGTGGACAAAGAATTGGATTAAGGCTTTTGGCTATAAATGAATAATGGGTGTCTATTTTGAGTCCTGCTGCTCTCGCCGAGTCCTATAAATCATACATGACTCAAGCTGTGCAAGACGGTGTGTGCACTGAATGCAGTCAGGGGTTCTGGGTGGTAATCCTGGTTCTGTTGCTTCCTAGCTGTGTCCTCTTCCGGCAAATCCCTTAAGCACTCTTATCTGCGGTATCAGTATCTCCTAAATTCGGATGATAAGTATACTTACCTTAGTGGACTACTGTGGAGATTAAATGAAATGAGGTAAGTAGAGCCCCTAGTTTAGTTCCTGACAAATAGCAAATGCCAGGAAGGAAGTGTCAGCGCCCATGCTTGGTTGTCGCTGTTTATTCTGGGAATAAAGAGAAAGGCCCTTGCTCTTTTTCGCCCTGTTCAGGTTATCTGATCAGGCTCGGGTATGGACTGGGGTGAGGAACAGGAGGACAGCATTATTTCTGTCCAGGAGCAAGTGCTGCTGCTTCCCTGCATAACGGAGATAATCAGGCTTCCTGAGAGTCACCAGGTATTTCATGACAAAGCAGTTGCCAAAATCGGAGCGATACGCCACGCTCCTGAAACGCCAATTTTCTTAAGCTTGAATGACAAAACTGCCATCCTGCATCTGCGTGTAGGTAGAAAACAACGGTATTTTTATTTTACTCTCTGAAACTAGCTTCTTGCTCCGGGGCTCCTCCATACCCCTCCCGGCTCAACGCCATGTCCTCCGTACTGAGCCCCAGTTGTTTAGCACCAACCCTGCCCGGATGTCGCCCAGTCCTCACCTGGTGGGCTTGCTGTAGGAGCTCCATTCGCTCCTGCAGGACCTGACAGTCGTACTCCCTGCTCTTCCTCAGCATCTGCCGACGGAGCTTTTCCACGGCTGCCCTCAGCTCCTCTTGCTGTTTGTCACTTAATAACTCACCAAACTTGATAACGGTTTCTTGCTGCAGAGCATTGTACAGAGTAGCTTCTAGCTCCTGGATTCTCTGGCAAACAAAATTAGAAACGTCTGACTTTCGAACTTCGCATGTATGGGTGGTATAGGAGTGTACACAGAGGTGTGGATGTGGGGAGAGATGTATTGTTTTTAGGCTTACGGTCTAATAGCAATAAAATAAATGTTACAGCTTATCCAGCCCAACAAAGTGCCCTTTAGATTATGTCCTTCGTAAGATTCCATCAGAGCCATCCAGCCAATGCATTAACTTCTCGGGTGATGGAAATTTATTCTTTTTCTTGGGGCCCTGTCCATTTCACAGCCTTCATTTTTAGAAAGTTCTTCCTTTGCTATCATCACTGTACATCCTTCTATTCTCAAATATAGCTGGAAATAAGTTTGTTTTCTCTTCCATGTGACAGTCCTTCAGATATTTAAAGAGGTCTATCATGGTGTCCATACTTTTAGAAAGAAGTTGAAAAGTGGTCTAAATTGGAATAAAATACTTGAAATTGGGGATGTGTAGTTCATGCACAAAATGCCACCTCTCTTCCATACGACACACCTCTGGACTTGAAGATGGCTTTACAAGCTCCATATTTTTTCTTACAATAAAAATCGGGAAATAGGGTCTAAACATAACCTAGAGTCTCTGGAATTGGTCTGTTTTTTAATGCTCTGAGATTTACAGTTGTTCTAGCTTTAAAATGCCTCCTTCAGTCTTCTCTTTTTTAGATGAAGAGTCTACTCTTCCTTATATCCTAGGTGTTTTGTTTTTAAATATCCTTCAGGTACAGTTGCCAAAATCTACAATCTTATTCCCTGTGACTTTAACAGAAGTAAATGGACATGCCCCGGTGAGGGACAAGGGTAAAAGGGGAGGTCGGCCGGTCAAGAATTGCTTTCTTCTCTGTTCTCTAGCGACCGCCTCCTTCTCCCCTTTCCCTTGCCCAGGCTCTCTTATTCATTTTGGAGGAGAAATACTAATTCATCTTTGTTCTAAGCAGAAACTAAGTGCCTCACTTTTTCCAAAAAGTGACTCAAGCTGCTTCCAGGAAAGCATTATCAAAACCTCTACTAGCAACTCCTTGAAATGGCCCTCTTTGCAGTTTGCTCTTTTTCTCTTGAGTCATTATTGTGAATTAATTGGGGGTGGGGGTGGGGATTGCATATAGAGAGAAGACCTCGAAGCTGCAGTCCAATACTAGCGATGACCTATCATGATTTTGTTCCAGGGGAATGGAGCAAATGTGCTCTTCAATCAGCATAATCTCCAGTGGGAGAGAAAGAGGCGCAGCCCACTTGCTGATGCTGCCCTGCTTTCTATGACAGTTGAGGCCACAATGCCTGGAGTCAGATCTAAAAACTACCCACGTACCAATGTGGTCAGAATTCTTACCCTCTCTAAGCCTCATGTCCTCATATGTAACATAGGAGTAATATTACCTACACCTCGTAGGGTTGTTCTGAGACATGACTGAATTAAAATATATACAACAAACATTAAATACTTTCTTACTCTATCCCTAGATTAGGCTCCCACACAATTGGACTTAATAACAATTTCTCTTTACACAGCCATCTAATCTGTCTTTCATTAAAATGTTATACGATGGCATACATTAAATTTAAAAAAAAATGAAGTATAATTAAATACTATTAAGTATTGTAAGAATGTAACAGCAAGGAGTTAGGAATATATTTGTTTTAAAATTAGAACTGGAAACCATTTAATAATTGAGTTGCATGTTGTGGCCTAGTCAAGTGGCATGACAAATTAAATAGGATTCTTTTCTCCATACTACATAATTGTAAACACCCTGGATGGCATGATTGCCTGTCTTACCTACCATATATGCTTGGTCGAGAGCTTGTTTCCTGTAGTCTAGTTCTTCCTCCAGATAGCCTTTGATTTTGCAGAATTGTTCCTATAAAAAAGGGCCATGTTGATAAATAGAGTCATCTTAGTTAACTAGAAAGTGATATATAAATTGTATTGATTAATGTTTTCTCCAATTCTATCACAAGACAAATCACTAGTATTTGTAGGGTCATCGATTTTGTCTGTTTGGGAAATAGTTCAACTTTCATTGTCTCACCCAGAGAATGTGAAAATCAATGGAAAGAACCATAAAGGATATAATGAACCATCCACATGGGATGCTTGGGAGGATTTGTATGCCAATCCAAGATTAAGGATAGATTCTGACAAGATAAATATTAGCTAATAAATATATGTGTGCAAATGCATTGTGATAGTGTATTTTTATGAGAATGTTATGAAATGTAGAAGAGTTGTATAATAAAAAGTTTATCGAAAGTTATCCATGTATGACTGGCAAACAGAAAGATAGCTAGCAATTTAGAGGGTGGTGGCAATTCTACCCACAACCACAGTGCCACTGAATGAGTGCGTGCCCGCTCTTGCTGCAAAGATAGAGTGAGCTGGGAGACTTAAATCTGATGTTTGCTTGCTGGTCCTCAGCTTCTGTGTGCCTCTCATATCGCAAGCATCTTGCTGCTAGCATTTAAAGATATATTGCTGGGTACAGCTTAGCCCCAAGTACAGCCAATTATTTCTGTGCGTGCATAAGTGCCTTCAGTGTGTAACTGCCTGCACAAGGCAATTTTGCTATATTGACTTTCCTGATCACTTCTGAGCTCTGGTGCCTAGAACAGTGCCTGGGACTGGTTGAATGCCTAATTAATATTTGTGCCTTTAAAGAGTTTTCAAAGGTGTATTGAATATAAATAGGGCTTGTTACATGCTTTGACTTTAGAGCCTAACTTCTTGGTAAAATTTAAGCCCTGGGCAAAATACAAGCGAACGATGTGCATTCTGTCACTCGCTGTATAAAATGCAAGTTGCTGTTCTTATTAGAGCCCTCCTTAGCCTAATAGGAATCACTACCTGTTTTTTAATAATAATGACATTGATGACAGGAGAGTTATAAAATTCTATTATGCATTGCTGTAAGTTAATAACGACCAATTCCTAGGCTTGGGGATTTAAAACAATTAATTGTGGTAAACTACATGCAACATAAAATTTACTATCTTAACCATTTCTAAGTGTACAGTTCAGCAGTGTTACGTACACTCATAGTGTCACACAACCCATCTCCAGAACGTTTTCATCGTGCAAAGCTGAAA